AAACATTTCTGGGAAGCTCACAGCTCACTAGGACAAACCCAGGACAGAGTGGTAGTGTGGACAGGCTCACTCAAATCTGAGGCTGCCCTGGGCCCTCACAGGTCTCTCTGCCCGTATGGACACCCATATCCATTCCCCAACTTCTCCCTGAGGGACTGCTTGTTGTATCCCAGAAGCATCTCTAGTGTGGTTGAGGGTACAGGCTCTGGAACTGGACTGGAATTTCACAGCTGCCACTTACTAGCAAGACAGCACCTACAACTTTGGGAAGACAGCAGTTCCTTGCCTCTGGTTGTCTCGAAGCGATAGATAGCACCAGGCTCTCTGGCTACAGATTCTCAGGGCCAACTTGAGATTTTAGGAAGCTACCCTCCTGCACCAGAAGTTAATTATACCACAAAGGGGAAAATAAAAAGATTTAAAATATGTTAAATGAGGTCATACAAACATTAGGGGAAGTCCCAAGAAGAGACTATGGGATCCCTTTCCTCCCCTTATTTTTCATTTCTAAAAGTTTTACTTGATTCTTTATTTGATTCTTTTACTCTTCTCCTATCATACCCTGTTTGGTTGTTGTAGTATCTTTTTCTCCTTTTTCATAAAAACTGAACCCTACATGAGGTAGATTGATGGGCCAGAACAGAATGTTCAGAAGTAGACTCAAATAAATCAGGAATTTAATATATAACACGGATGACATTTCATATCAGTGTAGAAAAGATGAATTTTTCCCTACACGGTATCTTATAAATACATTCTGCATGTGTAAAGACAACTGTTTAACTATCTGAAAAAAAAAAACTGGATTCTTATTATAAATCTTAAACCAAAATTAATGTCAGCTGGACCAAAGATTTAAATGTAAAAACTGAAACCCTAGAGCTAGAAAAGCCCTTTCAATGTCATGTAGGAGCCATAAAAAGAGGTACTGATCATTTAACTACATAAAATAGAAAATGCCTGAGTGTGCAAAGGAAAAATCATAAAGACAAAACACAGGGCATGGAGTCAGAAGACCTGGAAAGTCAAGATCTCATTTCAGCTGCGCCAGCCCCTAAGCCCTTATTTTCTTCTCTGAAATGGGGAGAAGCCTCCCTCACAGGTTTAATATGAAGATCCTCTGAGAATGGATGCAAAGCACTTTGCCATCTCTCCTGAGTCACATGCATTTGTGGCAGTGTTATTATGCCAAGGAGACCATCATGTCACGCCAGTCGCCTAGAAGGGGAGTGCATCAGGCAGTAGTCAGTCGTTACAGCAGTGGTCAAGAGTCTCTCCCTCTTAAGCCTTTAGGGAAAGTATCCTTTCTTCTCTAGGAGGATGGTCCTTCTTGGGGGCTGCCTGGTCTGGCCATCACAGAAGCGTTTGCTGTAGGGCATGCCTACCCATGAGGCAGTGTAGGTCGAGGGTGATTTGGGGGTTTCCACCAAGGCTCCCCACCTCCAAGCAGCCTCCCCCAACCACCTGCTTCTCATGTCCTCAAGTCCACCTTAGAGAGGCGTACTTTGGGTAGAGATATCTTAACTAAAAATAGAAATGATCCCAGGAGAAGTAATGAACTGAGTCTTGCAGGTTATTTACATTTTGTGGACAATGTTTTGGTGGCATGTTTGTGTCACTGGTGTGTGGGAAGTGCGCTGGCCTGGGGGTCATCAGGTCTTAGTTCTAGTGCCACTTCTGGTGTTGACTTCCTGTACAACGTTGGGTAAGTCACTTTTTTTCTTGTGCTTTTATTTCCCCTCTGAACCAGGAGGTGGTTAGATTAAATGCTCTGTTTTGGTTCTTTCATTCAGTCATTCATTCATTCTACAAATGTTTGTTAAGTACCTTCTATGCACTGGGTACTGTTGTGGTTGTTTGAGATACAGCAATGAACAAAACAGACAAAAGGTATGCCTTTTGGGAACTTATATTTTAGTGGGAGGAGACCAGGAATAAATAAGAAATATAATCATAAACTAAATTATCTAATATTTGAGGGGTTTAAGTGCTTTAGGGAAACAAAAACAGAGTAAGGGATCTTTAAATTGTGGGGGGGTGGGTACTGGAATTTAAGACAGGCAGACATGCTAAGCTGCTCTGAGGAGGTGACATCTGAACGAAGATTTGAGAGCAATTAAGGAGTTAGCTAAGCAGGTGTCTTGAGGAAGAACATTCCAGACAGAGGAAACAGACAGTGAAAGGCTCTGAGGTGGGAGTATGTTTGGCAAGTATGAGAACGCAAGGATGAGGGCAGAGAAATAACACAATAGACAGTAGGGGTAGAATTACAGGGAGCCTTATAGGCCCTTGGAAAGACTTAGACTTTTAATCTGCATGAGGTGAAGAGCTGTTGGGGGGGTTTCTTTGTTTCAATACTTTATTTCTTAGAGCAGTTTTAGGTTCTCAGCAAAACTGAGCACAAAGTACAAAGATTTCCTGTACTTTGCATAGGCTCCTCCACCATCCACATCCTGCATCAGAATGGTACATTTGTTACAATTGATGCACCTACATTGACACAGTATTACCACCCAGCAGTTCATAGTTTACACTAGTGTTCACTCTTGGAGTTTGCATATTGTATGGGTTTGGGCAAACATATCCACCATTCTAGTATCATTCTAAGTATTTTTGCTGTCCTAAAAATCCTGCATGCTGTTGGAGGACTTTCAGCAGAGCAATGTCAAGTGATCTACTCTTTTGGAATTCTGAGGTCCTACTGAATTTGAGGAAAGAGTTAAGGGCACCAAAACCATGTCTCACCTAGTGCACATTTTGCCTTCAGGCCTTCTGATTTGTCTGGAAGGATGCTATGAAGCTTCCCCACTTCCTGGTCTGCATCTCTGGAGTACACCTGCCCTGGCTGGAAGAGTAAATTGAGTCCCATAACACCTCTAGGTGGCAGTGCTGCCTCACACACAGGGGACAGCTCCCTATTTTGGTTTGTACCCAGAACAGCCAGCACTTTTCCTGGGACCTGCTTGCCCTGGTCTCACCGTCAGGGATCACCCAAGCGAGGCGGCTCCAGGCCCGTGCCTTAGCAGTCTCGTCTTGGCTCTCCTAAGGGGTGTAAGGCGCAAAGAAAGGTCTGGGCTGCCCGCTCCTTTCCCTATTTATGCTTCCCTGTACTTGTTCTTCAAGTCTAGATTGATATTCATTTTGCATTTTTAAGTCTTTGATGATATTCATTCCTGAATAAAATCAAGAGGAGGAGAAAGGGTCACACGTATTTGTTCTGGTCCCATCCGTTCCAGGGCAGCCCTGGGAACTGTATGCTGCTGCCTCGGGCAGAGCTCTGGTTCTCCTGTGTTTTTGGAAAATGATTGGGCCTGTTTGCCCTCCTGGAGTTGAGCTTGACCACCATCTACCTGGTCTTTCTAGCTAGAAACAATGTGTCCTCATCACTCCTACCCTTCCTCCCTCCCTCCTGCCCTTTCTCCTCTCCCACATCTATCACTGAAAATGGTCAGTTTTAACTTATGTAATCACACAAATTCACCCATCCCGCCTTTATGCACATCTATCTTGCCTTTGTATACCCAAGGGTAGCAAATACTAAAGCGTCAAACAGGTGATGATGACAGAATGGAGAAGACCAAAGTGTAAGGCAATACGGAGTGGAGGGGTCAGTGGTGAACTGGAAGGAATATAAATGAAACTGAAGTTTAACTACTTCTCAGTCCTAGCCAGATGTTGTCCTGTGAAAAGGCAGGTTCAAGTGTGGCCAGTTTTTCAAAGCCAGAAATCTGTTTTTGTTGTTCACCAATGGTCTGAATTCAGCACGCAGGCTGCCGATATTTGGCTGCTGGTTTGAATCACCATCATAGAGAAAATCTGATGTTGTTTCCTCTTTGGTCTGCCTCTGCTCTCACTTCCACACATTTTGCTCGCAGCCTCCAGAGCATCTCCCCAGTACCCAAGTCAGAACAGCCCATTCCATTGCTTGACACCTCCCTTGCCGCTGCCCTCCTCCGCCCCCAGGTTTCTTCCCACAAGACGAAGTCCAGATAATTCAGGAGGGCTGCAGACTGACCACTCAGAGCCCAGGCCCACTCTACTTCCCCTTGCTCCTCCCCTCCCTCCCCGACCTCCCGCAAATGCACATGAGCTCCTTTGTTACTTCCCTGAGGCCTCTCCCTGGACCCTGTATTCACCCTGGTGTGATGTCTTTTTACATGCGTCTCCCCACTGGGCAATGATGGTCCTTCACACAAGTGACCGCCTCTTATTCATCTGTGTATGTGGGGGGCACCTGCACAGAAGGTGGCTGGCAGATTTTTTTGTAGTATAAAATTTTTATATTTAGAATTAGCCACCAGTACTCAGTTTAGATGATCCCAATTTTGTTGGCAACACCCAAAGCATCATAGTCTCGAGCCAGTTGAGCATATGCCTTTTCTTCTCCCCATCAGGTCTGATCAGGGCATTGATCTTGGCCACAGCAATGTCATAGAGCTTCTTCACAGCGTGTCTGATCTGGTGCTTGTTGGCCTTGACATCCACAATGAACATAAGCGTATTGTTGTCTTCTGTCTTCTTCATGGCTGATGCGGCAGTCGGGGAATTTGATGATGGCATAGTGGTCAGCTTGTGTCTCCTGGGGGTGCTCTTCTGAGGATATTTAGGCTGCCTGTGGAACCCCACTGTCTTTGGCCTCCAGAAGGTGGGTGACATGTGGATTTTCTTTTTTTGTGTGTGTGGCTTTGGATGCCTTTTAGCACTGCTTTCTTTGCCTTCAAAACCTTTGCCTTGGCTTTGGCTTTGCGAGGGGCAGGAGATTCCTTCTTCGCTTTTGGCACCATCTTTGTGAAAAGCATATTTTTTAAATAAATTGGAAAATGGATGAATGATGGTTGTTAGCCAAGTAGAGCTGTCATAAGGATGTTTATTTCCCACACCATTATACATAATTAAGACCCAAGTGTCCTTTTGATAAAGACAATTTTCTTCTTTCTCCTCCTGGGTCCCCATCTCCCTAGGTACAGAAGTGTTGACACCTCTGTCCCAGCCAGGTCTTCTTATGGGCTGGTCTCTGGGGTTTCTGGGACTTCCTTAACCCCCTTGCTCTTGCATTTTGGTTTTTTAGGAAGTTTTCTTGAGGAACCTGAAAAATGGAAGGTCAGAGACAGTTCTGGTGACATCACAGACACTAAGAGAATCTCTGTCTGTAACATTCAGGGGATGTGGTAGGGATCTAAAGGAAGTACAACAAAATCTTATGTCCAACTTATATCCCTCATTCTTTTCTCACAGAAATCTGCAGGGTAGGGAGATGGTATTACCCCGATTTACAGATGAGGGATCCTACCAGCCAGAGAGTGAGGAAAGGCCTCCCCAAACCCTGAGGCAAGTCCGGAGCACAGTCGAGACCAGACCCGTGTTTCTTGACATCTGGCTTCAGACTCTGATTCCTCCCCACACCTATCTCCCGGTTTCACGTCCCAGTTCCTAGGACTTTGCTGATAGATTGCTTGCAAACACTATTGCCATTGTTTCATTTAAGAATTGACTTATGAACATAGTGCCAGAGAAACACCATGCATGTTACTTTTAATCGCACGGGTAGACCTCAGCTCCATCATGGTGGGTCCACCAGATACAGTATGTGTTATGTAGCATAGATGTGAAGAACGTAACCTTATTTCTAATGTCTCCCAGCCAAAAATTAATTGTTTAACATGAATTCATCCAGACTTTTGATCTATAGTCCTGTTTTTAGAGGAGCAAACTTAAAAGGTGCCAAAAGGAATAAACAAGAAAAAAGCAGAAAGTGGAACACTCCGCCAAACAATAGCCTGGTCTCTTCAACAGGTCAGGGAGTAAAAATGGGGTCTTTGTTAGGGTAGAAGAGACTTAAGACACATAAGCAGGTGAAATGCATGAAGTTTGGGAAACCAGTGCAAAAAACATCTTTGACTACTGGGAAAAATTTGAATATGGAGTATTTCATCTACTAATTAGATGAAATAAAAATATTGACATGGAAGATTGACACAATTAACTGAAAAAAAGCAAGTTCAAGTCAAAAGTATATACATTGTGGTCTCATTTTGGTTGACATATGTGTTTTATATGCATAAAAACATTTCGAAAGTGCTGGCAGTGGTGATGATAATGTGATGTTTATATTTTCTTATTTTTGTTTATCTGTATTATCTAATTTTTATGATATGCTTATGTTTGTAGTAATACAATGTTATTTTAAGAATTGCATGAGAGCCAAACTTCTTAACCTACCACCCCAGCCTTTTCCCTTGCTCCCCGAGTCCTGCACTTCTCCAGCCTGCTCTGCTATTCACTTCCAATCCCAGCCTCTGCTCATTACCTCTCGCCCCTGCGCACCTTTCCTCCCACCTCCTCTCCCCTCTTCCCCACTCCCTTTCTTTATTCCCTTTCTTTAAAGCCTGTCCCAAATGTACCTCCTCCAGACAGCCTGCCCTACCCTTTGCCCTAAGACCTCAGATTGCTAATTGACAAAAGGCAGATGATAATACCTATCTCATTGGGATGCTGAAGGGGTTAAGTGACATTCCCAGATAAAAAGCACCTGGTACAGGGAGTAGCCAGGTGAAAAGCCTGGAGCTTATTTTTCCTCATCTGATTCATGGACTACGTGGTCTAGATCGTCTTAATGACGGAATGGCCTTCACTTCCTTGTATGCTTCATTCCACCAATTTCAACTGCAGTCACAAGGACCAGGGGCCACCCAGAGCCCAGGCAGGACTCTGGGTCTCAGTAGCTGCCTCACCCATGCCCACCCGCACCCAACCTGTTCTTTCTTACTCTGCTCTCCCACTCAGTCCAGCTGTGACTAGCGGACAAGGCCCCGGGGGCTGCTGGTGCGCGTTAGCCTCAGCCAGCTCCAACTTCAGAGGAAACACCCTGGGTCCAACTTAAGACCAAGCTCTGAAGCTCTAGGCAACCTTGTTTGCCTTCACTTTCTGCCCCAGTGGCTAAGTAAGAACAGCTAACTGTGGCCCGAGAGGCCAGTTCCAGAAAGGTGAGGGGCAGGTGGCTCCAATGTCTCTCTGCGCCTCAGTGCACAGGAGGGGTCATCTTAGGTTCCAACCTTGGCTGGGACCCCTCCCACGGAAGAGATGTGTCCCCTATTCCTACAGCTTCTGGAAGTTCAGAGTCAGGCAGTGCAGTCATCGCTGAGGCCAAAGCAACTGGGAAGGCCATTCCCGGGCCATCTGGCTGGACTTCTCCCAGTGGGAATGAACCCCTTCCTGAGCCCATACCCCACCCAACACCTAGAGTGGGTGTCCTGCTGCTGCTCAGACACTTCTAGGAGTTCCCATTTGTGGCCACTAGAAACAGCCTCTGCTCTGCTTCTGGTCAGGTGGGAAAGTGCCTTTGCTGAAATCTTAACTGAAAAATGAAGAATTCAAAATTGTATCATGAGACCTCCAGGGGAAATGACACAGAACCCCGAAGGGAACCCACCGAAACATTGGCCGCCATGGCCTCTGGGTGATGGCTGACTCTCCCTCGTTTGATGTATACTTACCTGTGCATCTCAAACTTTCTGTAATGGGCATGGCTGCCAGGAGGGGAATGAAAAGAGGGGAAAAAAGTAGAGAAAGGAAAGGAAAATGGACAGGAAAAGAAACGCAGGGGTGAAGACGGAAAGGAAGAGGCAAGTGTCAGGGTGCTCCAGGTTGGACCACGCAGGCTCTGCTCGCAAGCTCCCTCTTCCAGGCACTCCCCCCACACCTAGTGGGCATTACCTCTCCTGAGGTGGGTGCCACATCTTGGCTCCACCAGTAGGGGGGCCTCGCCACCTGGGGCCTGCATCTTGGACAGCCTCTCCTTCATGCCACTAATGTTGTTGTGCAGCCCCCAGGCGCTGCAGAGCTTGGGCAGAGAGTCTTCCTGGTTGGCCAGCAAGGAGTTCTCCAGAGCATCCAAGGGCAAGAATGTTGCCTGCAATGGAGCCATAGTGTTGAGAAGAGTGTGGAGAAGAGGGGTCCTTGTTCCATAGTGCCATCCACGCCCTTGCTGGGGAACTGCTGCGGTCTGGCTGCACCAAACACCTGACTACCCGGAAGGATGGAGCGTCACAGATGTGGGAGGGAAAGGATCATGGAGACATGGAGGCCAGGCTGCCAACTGTCTCTTCTTGGGTGGTTCTTTACTTTGAGATAAGTTGTCTATTTCTTTTTTGAGTTATAGCAGTGTCTTATGTGTTTGTAGTGAAGCAATTTTTAAAAAATCCCTTGCAAAATTAAAATTGATAGCCTGAAAATACCTTTTGAAATTTTCCTGGCCAGTGAAATCCAGGAATCACTAAAATACAACAGCAGCTCCTGGTATTCAGAGAAGGGATCCCTGAACCTATCCATCCATTCATGTTCAGAGGAAGAAACGGAGGCCCAGAGCAGGGACGGATCTGGTTAAAGCTGTACAGCTGGAGAGTTGGAGGCGGGGGTGGGGGGGTCTCAGGTGTGGTTAGAGCGGGGCTTCTCTCTGTGCCAGATTGTTTGAATCCACCTCTCTGAACCCTACTTGCTATGTGGTCTGGATCAAGTTACTCTATCTCCCTACATTTGGCATCTTAATTTACACGCTGAGGACAATAATTCTAATTACCACTTAGGGTTACTTTTGAAGATTACCAGAGGGAACATAAAGTATCTGGCACGTAGAAAGTATTACCTATGATTATTATTTTGGAACAGGTTCTCAAAGTGTGTGCTGTGAACCCCTGGGGGTCCTTAAAATATTTTGACCTCCCCAGACCCCCTGCAAAGTGGGGCCCACTCTAAAGCGTGAGAGAGAAACCAACAGATTCTAATGTAAGCTAGTGTGAAAAGTTCATGGACACAGATCTGAAAAGGCTACAAATTGTATGATTCCAACTATATGGCACTCTGGAAAAAGGCAAAACTATGGAGACAGTAAAAAGGTCAGTGGCTGCCAGGGGTTTGGTGGGAAGGAGGGAGGGAGAATAGATGTAACATCAGGGTGGGGGAATAGGGCAGCAAAACTGTTCTGTATGATACTATAATGGTGGGTACATGTCATTATACATTTGTTGAATCCTATAAAATGTACAAAACACAAAGAATATATCCTAATGTAAACTATGGACATTATAAGTTAATGATGTACCAATATTGGCTCAAAAATAATAACAAATGTACTGCTTTAAGTCAATATGCTAATAATAAGTAGGCATAGGAGGGAGTGGTATATGGGAACTCTATACTTTCCACTCAATTTTTATGTAAACCTGAAACTTCTAAAAAAAAAAGTCTATTTTAAAATGTTAATTAATATGGTTTCAGATTCCGCATTGCAATTAAGTAACTGTCACTGGTTGAGGTTTGGTGTGGTATCAAAGAAAAATATCCACAATTATTTGAAAATACTAATAAACTACTTCTCTCTTTTCTAATTATACAACTGTATGAAGCTTGGTTTTCTTCACATACTTCAACCAAATTAGTATGTGCTAAGAGATTGATTACAGGAGCTGATAGGAGAATCCAGCTGTCTTCCGTTAAGCCAGATCCTACAGAAATTTGTAAAAATGTAAAACAATGCCACCCTTCTCACTAACTTATTTTGTTTTGGAAAATATAGCTATTTCTCATAAAAATTATTTATGTTAATTATGTGATTGACTACTTGCTTTTATTTTTAAATGGATTAGTAGATACATATTTTGAATTTTTCTTTAACTTTAATTTCTAATAGCAAAAATATCGATAGATACAACCTAGAGAAACAAATGCTTTGGGGAAGTTCTCAATGATTTTTAAGAGGGTATAAGTGACCCGAGACCAAAATATTTGAGAATCACTGGTTTTGATAAAGCCAGGCCAGGCTCTGTCGGTAGTGCCAGAGCCTTCCCTGAGCTGGCTGTGCCTTTCTGCCAGGCCTCAGCCATCCCCACCCAAGGCTCAGAGGCATGTGTCTTGCTCCTGTTAACATTAGTGTGTGGGTATAGAGGGTGAATAAATATCAAGAACTGGAAGATGAGTCTCTGTCCTTTTCAGCCCCAGTCTGGGCTCTCACTGCAGGTGTGAAGTTAGGGGCAGAGAGGGTTTTCTCAGGCAGCGGGCTGTGGAAAGGGCTGGGGGAGGGCTGGTTTTGTCAGAAGGCCCCTCGGTCCCCCGCCTCCCCACACAGCCCAAGAACACACCCGTCAAACCCTCAGCTGGGCCCAGGAGCTGTTTTCTTGAGTGTCTTACCAGGAACTTGGCGTTCTGGCTGTTCTTGGTGTACTTGTAGAGCTTGTGAAGCTGCTTTGCCTCCAACTCCGAGAAGAGGGAGACAAATCTCCAGAGCATCCTATAGGGGAGAAACTGGAAGCTGAGGGAGGCAGGGCACAGCCCCTGTCCCTCCAGCATTTGTCCTGTGGCCAAAACCCACTCAGGGAGAAATGAGCCACATGCTGCCTCCTTGGTTTTTGGTTGGGGACATGGAGAAGCAGGGATTTTCCAGACCTTGAATAGCCTGGCCTGGTGATGAGCACCCATACTACACAGTAGTTGTTCAATCAGAGGTTATTCTCCTCAGGGTCAGGAGAGTTTTTTTGCCCACTGTGTGTACAGCCGTAGAATCAATGCTGCCCTGAGTGACTGGAGAACCCTGTTCTTTCCACCCCATCTTTGCCATGCTCATTCCAGGATCCTGACTCTTTCACATAAAGGTGAAGGACTAGAGGATCTTGACTCAGGTGTGACCTTGAGTCTAGAAGTGATGACCCAGGAGTGGTGTAGTGGGAAGGGCAAGAAGGCTGCCCTTACTTCCTCCAGTGCTTCGTTTCCCAGGCTCGGCAGTAGTGCTTAAGAAAGGTGTTGATGTGGTCGCCTAGGACCACCAGGCTCTTCTTCATGTAGTTCAGCTGCTTCTTCTGGGGACGGTCCTTGGGCACGTTCAACTTTCGCAGGCACTTCTTTAATGGTCTTAGACATTCTTTACACTGAAGAGGCAACAGGTGAAGTGAGGGGCCATAGGAGAAAAGAAGAGGCAGATGGGCAGCCCCAAGTAAACAGCAGGCCAGTCCAGCTATAGCCCTTGGGACCCAGGAAGGATCACACGTTATGTGAGGAAGCTCCAGTCAATGTCTTACCCCACACTTCTTTCCCGAGAGTGTGACAAATGATGCAATAAGCTATGGGTCTGAGGCCTGCCAATACCTGGCTCAGGTTTTCTGACCTGTGAGGAATGGGGAACAGGGTCCTGGGATGGCTCCTTACTCACAATTCTGAAGGTACACTGGTCCAGGCCCTTGGCATGGCTCACAAGTGAGTCTCCAGCAGGGATGGTGCTGGCGCTCCTCTCCAAGTGGGGTACATCCATCACCTGGGAGGAGGCGGGGGCAGTGGTCAGCCTGGGGCCTTGGGTGACTCCTCCTGAGAGGCAGTGCTGGACAACCACTGACCCAATCCCAGCCAAAGCCCTTCTCCATTTCCCCGATGACCCTTTCCTTGACCCAAGAGTGATACAAGTGAGCCCTGGGCAAAGAAACCCATCTCTGAGAACCCCTGCTTAGAAAACCTAGAATGCCCAGTCCATGTTTAAAAATAATAATTATAGCACACTAACCTGGCTAACTTTTCAAAGCACTTGATAAACATTAATTCATTTTATTCTCTCATAAATTCTTTAAGCAGATCTCAGTAACCCTGGTTACAGACAAGAGCACTAAGGCACCAAGGGATTTAAGTAACAACTCAGGGGAATGAGCGGAGATTCATTTACTCCTTCAGCAAACATTTACTGAGCGGCTAAGTCCCAGGCCCACTTCTTTCTATCCCTAACTGTTAGCCTCATGCCATGCTCATGGACACTCAGAAAAATGTGTGATGGAGAGAGTAATGATGAGAAGGAATTTTCTGACACCAGAAGTGTGGCAAAAAGTCTAATGAATGAAGACAAAGTGACTGTAAAATGAAACTTGAAGTCAGAGTTAGATTGACATGGCTGGATTTGCACCTGACCTTGTAAAAGCCTGTCAGAAATGTGAGCATTAATTCTTCCTGTGTTCAGGGAGAAGAGAGAAAATCCAGGCTCAGACCATTCTGAAGGGAGAGATCAGGGACTGGGAGGGAGCTGGATGGAGAGGGTACAAGACACGGGCTTCTCCAGCCCCCAGGGAGAGGGAGCTCAGGCTGATCAGCTTTATAAATATACCACACACACCACATAACCACACACATGTGTGTGCATACACACACAGGAGAGCCCCTGTGTCTTCATAACCAACACCATCTTACCAGAAATCTTCCCATCATCTTGCCAGTAATATATGTCCCTGATAAACATCTTTATGGATGAATTAACCTTCTCTTGTTCTTTTGGTTTCTTACTAATTCATGGACCTCACCAATTTTCCTTCTTCTCTTCTTCCTTGAATTTCATATGCTTTGCTTTCCCAAACAAGCCCATCAAGGACCCTCCTTTCCGCCCTCCCTCACATCTCCAGCCCTGCTTCACCTTCTCAAGTGGCCTGTCTCCTTCGCCTCCTGGCCCATCTGAGGACTCCATCTCAACAGGTGTGTTGGTGGGCTCCAGAGGCGCCTCCTCACGACCCGTCAGACTCTGATCTACTGCTTTTCTGACCTGAGTGTCTCAGGGAGTGAGCAAGTTGGTTCTAGAACCCGGGGTTAAAACCAAGGCAACTGCCAACACAGAGTCCAGCACCCCTCCCCCTCCCATGTCTGCATTCCTAGGGGTGGCCACCAGCCTTCTCTTTCAACTGGCAACTGGACTAGGGACGTGAGCAAGATGTGCTGGAAAGACCCAGGACTTTGTCCCAGTGCACAGCTGGCCAGGAGAGGCCGACATCCTTTTTCCCAAGAGGCTATCAGATGCTCTTGATTTGGAACACTGGTGAGGTGTTTACAGTCATTTTCCTGCAAGTGTACCATTCATATCTCCTTAGTTACACCGTGGACTCCCTGAGAGTGAGGACCGGGGTTTGTAACATTCCTTTTCGGATTCGGAACAAAGGACTAGAAGGTGCCCTGAGCGAACAGAATACAGTAAACCTCGGTTGAGCTAGAACTTCTCTTCTATCCCTGGTAGCCTCCAGGAAGTTCACAGGCCAATTGTGTAGGATGTTGGTTTGGTCATGTTTTTAGGGGTGTGTACAAAAATATTAGCCACCATTTATTATCTCAGTTAACTCACAACAGTCTTCTCTGGGGTAAGGTACCAGTAGTGATCCTATTTCATAGAAGAGGAACCCAGACTCAACTTGCCTTAGGTCCACAGCCACTAAGTGGGGCGCGGGGCTACCAGTCGGATTCGGACCGCTCTGGCTTTTCCCGCCTGCACCGCCCTCCACGGATCCGAGTAAGCGTCGCCCTGGCCTGCTTGGTATGCAGGTCCACGGGGCGCTCTCTCGAGGACGCAGCAACGGCGCCCCCTCGCGTTCTTCCTCAGAGCACACGGCAGGTTACTAAGACCGTTGCGGCCTCCGTTTATTTATTTAAACCACATCTCCTTCCTTGGAACGCTGTACTCCATTTCCTGGCCCTTGCCATCGTGTCTTCTGGGTCCAAGGTCTGGTTTTCCCCACCCGGTTTGGCCCTTTTTCCTCCCTTCCTTCGTGGGCACCGGGTGGGACAGCCATTGGCCAACAGGGCGCAAGCTGTGGCTTGGTTACTGCGGCTCTGTCGTCTACGGTATCCCCCTTCTCATCTGACCACAATACTCATGCATGATAGAGACTTTGTGGATCTTGACACACTTATGGGACAATGTGGCTTTGCCTCCAAACTGGGAGGTGTGTTCCCTGAGCATTCATTCGGAATTATTGTACAGCTATTAAGAAAGAAATTGGCAAGAGTGATGATGGGAAGGGGGCTCTCATATACTTTATTGGGATTGATAATTGGTAAACAATCTACGTAGTAATGCAAATGTTAAATGTGCATTCCCTTTGATATGCTTCTATGAATTAGTCCTAAGGAGAGAAGATGTATGTATGAGGGTCATTACAATGATGACAATTTAGAAACAACTGAAGTGTCATCAATGTGTGTTGCACTGGGCTCTGGTTCCTGGCAACCCTGTGAATGAGCGATGCCTACAATGTCCTGTCCTCTACAGCCCCTGCTCAGCTCGTGTAGGCTCCTGCCTGTGGCTTCTTTTATGGAGTTAATCCATCTCATATTTGGTTTTCCTCTTTTCCTGCTGCCTTCTATTTTTCTAGCATTATTATTTTTCCAAAGAACTCTGCTTCTCATGATGTGCCCAAATTAGGACAGCTTTGGTTTTGTCTCAAATTTGTTGTACCTCAATTTTCTTCATCTATAAAATGGAGATGATGACATAGGGCTGTTGTAAAGATTAAATGATTTAACAATATATGTAAAAGGCCTTAAACTAGTGTCTGCCACATATAAGAGCTCAATAAGTGCTAGCAATTATTACTACATTGTTTAAGAGGATTTTCCTTGATTAAATATCTCATACATGAACTCTTTATACATCTTTGGTGTGGCTAATACTTATTTTTTAGGTGACAGGGTTTCAGAATAATCAGCTTTGAAAGAGTAAAACTATACAATGGCCAGGAATAAACTTATTAAATGGCCAACATACACCTTTTAGGGGTACTAACCATTCCTAAACTGGGACTTTTGTGAGTGATTATTCTTTGTTTGGGGACTGTGAGACTGTGGTTAAGACGACCTGCCTTCTAGTTAAGTGTCCTTTACAAATTAGAAACATGAGAAGGTTGTTGGCAGCCCCTATTTTTAGAGTTTGTGTTCTAGGAGCACAATGATGGTGCTTCAAGGGAACCAATCCCAGTCTCTTTTGTTGTAAGAAGGCTGATGTACATCCTTTTCCCACAATTTCTCTAAAAGCCAAGCCACACTTACAGATGCCTTTAGTGTAGGAGATAACACAAGACCATTGAAAAGCTGTGGCTCACCATGGGCAAGTCTCTCCTCTCAACGAGTGATCTTACCCAGACTTCCTCTCTAGGGAAATGGGATGTGGAGCAATGTGGGCTAAAGTGTGGGAGGTGACAGTGTCTTCTTGTAGACATTTGGGCAAAAGAAGAACTAAAGTGTTTTTATTAACACCCAAAGGTTAATAGAAAGGTCAAATTAGGACTTGCCGCTGGAGTTAAAAATATTAAAATACTAATGCTCAGGATCTATTCTGTGTGCATCACATTTTGAAAACTTTTTATTTGGAAATAATTTCAAGCTTACAAAAAAAGTTGCAAAAATAAGAATAGTATAAAGAATACTTGCATACCCTTTACTCAGATTCATCTATTAACATTTTACTCAATTTTCTTTACTATTTGCATTCTCTCTTCTCTCTGTGTGTGTGTATATATATATATTTAAAACACATATATGTACACAATACATATATATGGATATATTTTTATATATAAGATATATAAATATATTTTTTATATATGAAATGCATATATAAAATATATATTTATATATTATATATATATATATCTTCTAGCCTCAGTTATAGCACTGCCATTTTTGCTGCCTTCTATTAACTGAAGTATTCACAAAGTTATGCTTAGGCTCAAAGAGGGGAAATAATTTCCAGAAGAGAGGGGGGAGAGAAAGAAATATGTTGTCTTTTCCTGAAGCATTTAAAAGTGAGTTTTATATATCAAGGTACTTTGTCCCTAAATAACTCCAATGTGTATTTATTAAGAACAAGTGCTCAAGTCAAGGAGTACTTGTATTAGAGAGAACACAACCAAGAAAGCTTAATCACACTAGGCTTGCTCTAGATAATGAGATCCTAGATTCCAGTGGGAATCTGCTGTCAAAATAGGAATTTTGGAGAAAAGGGTGAAGGTACAGTAATACTTCATTTTATTGAATGTTGCTTTATTGAGCTTTACAGATGTTGCATTTTTTACAAATTGAAGACAAAACCTTCTGCCGGCAAAAAAATTCCAACTCACTTTATTGTAATCCTATGGTGATCTGGAACTGAACCTGCAATATCTCCAAGGTTTGCCTGTATATTGCATGTGGGAGGAATGTAAATTGTTGTGTTCAGAGGGCAGATTGTGCCCTTCCCCTTCCTTCCCTTGAACCTGGGAAGAACTTTGTGACTGCCTAAATGATTAGAACGCAGCAGAAGTGACCTTGGGTTACATCTAAGGCTAGGTCATAAAAGGTGACACAGCTTGGCTGACCTCCTCTCTCTCTCTGTCTCCCCTAATCTCCCCCACCCCATACACACACATTTGGAACCTGGCCACATGTTGTGGGAAAAAGGAAGAGCATTACATGTGTAGTTCTTCCAGCTGAGGTCTCAGCTAGCAACCAGTATCAACTGCCAGACATGTGCATGAGCAAGCATTCAGAGGACCCCTAGCTTGCTGGCTGTTGCAGCTCACACTAAATGTGGTAGAAGTTAGCTCTCCCCAGTGAATCTTGCCCCAGTTGCAGATTTATGAGCAAAATAAATGTTGTCATTGTTTTATGCTACTAGTTTTTGAGGTAATTTCTCGTGTGGTAATAATAACCAGATTCGCATACAGTAGCACAAATACACTCCTTTGTGTAAATAAAAATATACATTCTAGGAAGTAACTCCAATTAGTGCTCTAACACTTCAGAAGAATAATAAAGTAAGGTTAAGATCAGTGAGAGATGGAATATTGGGGATGGAGAAAACCCATATATTGGTGTTTTTAGAATACAAGATTGGGTGCAGTCAGTTATTGCACACAATAACCTATTAACTGGAACTTAACTCTGCCAACATTTGTTTTTGTTCCATAGCTGCAGAAATTAGAAGATCTGGGTTAATTTCATGCCATTTTTTGTAAAGGTTGCCTATGAGTCTAGAACATAGTCTGAGCTACTAATTAAGAGTTTGTCTGAGTTGGGGAAATTTAAACTCTTTCCCTATAAATTTTTTGGTGACAATCTTTCTAACTACTGGCTAGTCCGTTAGATTTTTGTCATGAATTAATTTCAGATGCCATTATTACTTACTAATTTACACAAAAGTATGGGCCGCAACAGTCCTTTCGGAGTGACATTCAGGCTGAAGTTCATGCATAGGAGAGATCTATTTTCAAGCATTAATTATCACACTTTGGCTTAATTCATTCTTTTAGATCAAATTTTAATGGTTCTTACTGTCCTGTCCCCAGAACCTCCTGTCCAGAATTGCTTGTTGATAGCTCAAAGAGATTACAGCAAAATAGAAATGTGATAAAAAAAACTAAGTTCTTAAAATCTACCTGAAAGCATTTCTCAAATGCTTATAATTCTTACCGTGTTAAAAATGAAAACTATTAGCCCTGGTTGGTGTGGCTCAGTGGACTGAGTGCCCTCCTGCAGACCAAAAGGTCACTGGTTTCATTCCCAGTCCGGGCACATGCCTGGGTTGGGGGCCAGGTCCCCGGGGTGGGGCATGGGAGAAGCAACCACACATTGATGTTTCTCTCCTTCTCTGTCTCCCTTCCTTCCCCTTTCTTTGGAAATAAATAAAATGTTAAAGAGAGAGAGAGAGAGAGAGAACTATTACCT